CTCCCCACCCCCCTCCCCACACCCGGTACCTCCGGCCTCTAGCCCGGGCTTTTTCTAACTGGGGTGGCCCCGCCCAGAATTCCCGCCCCTGCCTTGCCAGCCAATCAGCGCGGGGCCCCGCTAGGGCCCCCGCAGGGCCCACCTCCGCCCCGACCGTTCCAGCGCACGTTTTCGCCTCACCCCGCACCCGTTCTGGAATTCTCCAAAGACAGCCTCCCCGCACCCCCCCTTTGGAATCCTTAGACAGTGTCTGGCATTGTCCCCAAAGGTCCCGCTCAGGGTTGAGAACTTCACCTCCCTAGACCACTGGCACCCTGCTAGGAACAGTGCCCGCCCTGCACCCCACCGCGGGTGAGCTGCACACCACTCTGCCCGTGGATGGTTGCCCGGGGTGGGGGGCTTCTCTGGGGCGGTCTTAGAGAGAACACTGACAGCTAGTACCCCGCGTTCACTCTGGGGGTCCTGATGGCTAAGACCCCACAGTTCATTCTGGGGGTCTGGGAATCGACATGGAGAAGTCAGAGGCCAACAGTGTGCAGAGACTGGGAGGGCTCGGGTTGGGCTGAAATTGCAGTGTTGGCCACAGACCTCTAGTGATCAAGTGACCAACTCTCAGTCTTTGTCCCATCTGATCGACTTACTTTGACCACAGTGGCTTCCACGAGACACCTGATTGGGCCCCCAGTACCTCCTCATCACCCTTTCCATTCCGTCTGGATATGAATGCCACTTACTCCGTGATTCACCGATACTCCAGAGACAGAGGCCCATGGTGGCCTTACAACTGGCCTCAGTCTCCCAAGTCCACCAGGGGCACCAAGACTCAGTAGGAGAATGAGGACAGAGGGCTGCCTAATCTCACTGTCACTTGGGGGTATCATTGCTCTTGGCCTCTGTAGAGGGTTTGGGGGGCCCTTCAATCCATAGCATCACCACCCACAAGTCAAGGAGTGTTAGAACCACAGAAGGGTAGGCCATCCCTAGGTGGAAGTGACTGGAACCTCAAGTCTGGGGACGCCAGGGCTGACCAGTTCCAACCACTTGGCAGGTCCTCAGGTGTGTGGGGTATAGCAGTGTCTCAATAGATCCTCGGGTTGCTTCATTATGAGGCGCTGGAGGCCAACCGAGTACTGATTTCTGACTGTTCTTGTGGGTGATGACCTGGTTTTACGCTGAAAAGCCCCAGTCGTCACCACGAGTGGACCCCAAGTTACGATGCAGGCAGACATCTCCACTTCTACTGTTAAATAAACACCGGCCTCTGCCGTCTTGGCGCTACGATGTGTGAATCTGTGCTGCCGCCTCGAGGCCGCGGTCGTCTCCACAGTCTTTAATGATTCTTGTGCAGAGATGGGCACACAAGACCAAGGAGAAAGAATCCCCAAATCCTCCCCGGCTACATGCAGAGCTCCAGGCTCTTAAGCCTGTCAAGATGCTATGGAAAGAGTCTCCCTCTCTGACGGGGAAAGCCCTGTCACCCAAGGCATGGTGATCCCTCATTGTCTCCCCCCATTATTCACTTTCATTTCCTTCAACTTCAACTGTGTGGTCTAAGGGGACTCAGTGTCACATCCCCTGATGGAGCTAAAAAAAAAACAACCCTGGGTGACCTGGGATATTACCACAGGTGAACCCCAGTTCTGCTGCCCTTGCCACATTGGGCTTTCAGTGTCTAGACTCGTGGTATCTTCTGTGTCCTCACCCATGACTGATTCTGTGCACAGGGATTGAGCACATCTGGATGGTTTGGGGGACACAGAAGGAGACCATTTCCTAATGCACAAGTGTCCTAACCTCTGGTGGTCCTCAGTGATCACTGAGGCACCGATTCTGAGTGACTCGGGACATTGCCACCGGTGAACCCCAACATTGGCTGCCTCTATGCCATAATATTTAGTACTGTACCGCCACCACGCGGCAACTTTGGTCTCTCCAGCCACTTCTGGGCTGTGTGGAGAGTCTAGCTTTCTGGTTTTCAGGGTGCGAAACCAAAGGGAGTCACCCCAGAAATACACCTGTCCTACCAAGCCCATGACTTCATGAACCATGAGGCACAGGGCCTGGATGATTGCCATAGGTGAACCCCAACCTTGGCCACCTCTGCACTGCCACCACTGGGCAACTTCCATCTCTCGAGCAGCTGCCGATTTCCCACTGTGTGGGGAGTAAGCCAAGCCCACTGGCTTCAAGGCACAAAACCTAAAGGAATCACTTCAGAAACCCTGAATTACCATCTCCCTTGACCCTCACAAAGGTTGGGTAACTCGGGACGTTGCCGCGAGTGAACCCAGCCTCAGCTATCTCCGGGCTGCAATGTGTGGGGCTGTGCTGCCACCGCGCGGCAACTTTGGTTTTCCCATCTCCAGCCAACCCCGCTGAGAAGCGAACCACACTCTGATTTGGGGGCCCCAAGATTGAAGGGGACCCCTCCAGAAACACAAGTGTCCTACCCTCTGATGACTCTCATCGGTCATTGAGATCTTGGGGTCTTGGTCATCTGGGACATTGCCAATGGTGAACCCCAGCTTTGTCTGTCTCTGGGCTGAAATGTTTAAGACAGCGCTACCATCAACATGGCCGTTTTGGTCACTTTACCTGTCATGGCTTCTATGCAATCTGAGAGTGAGCCACATTTTCTGGTTTACAGGTCCTGAAACCAAAGGAGACCCTTCCAGAAACATATGTGTCCTGCTCACTGATGATCCTTACAGATGAATCTCGGAGGTGACACTGCAATGGGTGAACCATAATCTTGGCCGTCTCTGGGATGCCATCATGCAACAAATTTAGGGTCCCCCAACAACCAAGTCTGTACCATCTGTAGTGATCTGGGCTCAGCCTAGACCCTAAATTTGGGGAGAGGGGTGTGCAGCACCATGCAGGCCAGCGAGCTCAGGTGCTTGCCCACAGGCCCACAGAATGCTGCAGCGGCTTCCCTGAATATTTGCATCTGAACTCCGCAATTAGCATCTCAAAGCCTGCATCGAATTGATTTGTTATTGGGGGTGTAGGATGAAGTGTTTTGATAGAGCTGGTCCCGGGAAGGCAAGAGGTAGTAACCGTAGGCTCAAATTGTAAGCTGTTTGTTGGGTTGTCACTGTGGTACCCGTGACACGTGCCACGATCACCATTTGTGGTAGGTGTGCTCATTTGTGGTAGGTATGCCATGGCGCTGATGACCTCAGAGTGCCATCCGTGGCTGTGGGGTCACAGACAGCCTAAGTCAGATGCTTGGGATAGCTCACAAGAAAGTCCTACTCTCAAGTCAGCTGCAGCTTTGTGGCTGTGACGTGTGAGACTTTACTGCCACCACGCGGCAACTTCTGTTTCTATGCACAACCCGTTCCAGGCCGCCAGGCAGGGAGGGAGTCAAGCTTGCCGGTTTGGGGGTCCCATGTGCATGCCCCCCATGTGCACCTGAATCCCTGAAGCATTGGACCATTCACTGGACCTGGGTGACCCACGATGTTGCCGCGAGTGGATCCTGACCTTAGTGGTTTCTGGACTTGGTCTGCCACCACGCGGCAACTTCTGTCTCCACAGCCCGCAACCAATTCTGCATTCAGAGCTTGACTGACTGAGATTGGCACCAAGAACAGGGCCCTGTATGCTGCTGGAGCCCCGAGTGGGTGGGGGTGTCCGTCTGGACTGTGGATGTAAGTAGCTCCACACTCAAGACAGGGATGTTTTGGTTTGTCACCATTTCCATTTCCTTGGCCATTCACGTGCCTCAGACCATTCGTGGATTATTCGGGTTCTGGGCAGACCTGGGGCTCTGCCATCACGAGTCGCACCACTCATGCACTTGTCTATGTCCTCTGCCTTGGTTCTCCTGGAACAGTCAAGCTACCTTTGGGGTTCACAGACA